ATCGGCAAACCTGATTAATATGGACCATTTTATTAAATTTTATTCCCACTTTAAGGCAGTAATGACTTAGATCGTCTAATTTCATCGTTATATGGAATGAAACAATTATTCATAGCTTATCCTACAGGACAGAAAAACCGCCATGGCTCCGTATAAATAAAAAGTTTATTTTTAAATGATTGATACAAAAAGACATACTGCGGCACGACACTTTCAGCCAACCCACATCTCAAACACGTCATACCTCAACAAGCGCCATTTTTTTTTTTAAGTCTAACATTAACACATTTTTCTTCTATTTTATTAGAAATCTACTGGAATTTCTTTTTTTTTCTCAGACCATAATCGACCTTGGTGCATGGATCCTTATGGTCTATTATCCTTTAATTCCACACAATAAATGCCTACCTGGCACTATCCCCGAAATAGCGTCATTATGCTCACTAACGGGACCCAACCTGGAGGGCCCCGCAGCGAGCATTGTGGGGGAAACGGGACTTAAAATTTCCTTTACTTTGTAAATAATCTAATCGAAGAAGCAGCGAAGACGCGCTCTGAATAACTATATACAAATGATTTTTTTTTTCCTTTGAGACACGGTTTATACACAATTTAATCCACATTTTAAGACATTCCATCTGACGTGTTAAGGAAAGACTTTATGCGTAATAGGTAACAACAAAATCATCTATCGATCATACATATATAAATCATACTATTAATGATATGTACACTGATTTACCATATACATATATATACACACACACAAAGTGAAATGCACTAGAGAAATTTTTGATGAATACTTAAAATATTATAATGGATATAGCAAAATAAATAAATAAGGCAAATAAAAATAAAATAACACTAGTAACAAAAATAATACAAAAAATATCAAATAAATGAATAATAACAATAATAATAAGGAACACCTTGACACAGCATTTGTTCTAATCACGTGATATGACGTCATCACTTAGCAAACTTCATTGGCTGCATGATAATGAAGTTGCAAAAATGATTTCTTTTTTTAGAGTGTGTGTGTGCGTGTGTGTTTCCCTGCATCAACGAGGTGGCACTACGAATGCAATATATAAAAAGTACATAACTGAATTATGGAATCAATTGCAACATTAGCATGGAATGTTTTTTTGTTGCAAGTTTTGAATTAAATTACAATCATACGGCATTAAATAATAAAACTAAAAGGAAACATATAGCTTACAATTTCACAATGCCACAATCACAAAGTATTTGACCCTTGAGTATACACACAATAAGGCTTAGATTCCTCTGGTTCTACTCCACGAACACTTAATGCACAGAAATAAAAACAAATTTTTTGCAACGAAAAACAAAAAACAAAAAAACTATCGATTTGATAACAAAACCACACTTGGCGACGATATTAACCTAGTGTTAGCAACGGAATCGACTCTATGGCAGTGGTGACGAAGGCCCAAATTGGCTTGCCTCGTCACTAACTACAGGTAAGTACTTTCTTGGTAGACTAGAAGGTAACCGAAGATGATAAGAGAGAGAGAGAGAGAGAGAGAGAGAGAGAGAGAGAGAGAGAGAGAGAGAGAGAGAGAGAGAGAGAGAGAGAGAGAGAAATTATATTTATATATATATATATATATATATATATATATATATATAGAGAGAGAGAGAGAGAGAGAGAGAGAGAGAGAGAGAGAGAGAGAAATTTATAGATCAAAGAAGGAAGATACAGAGAGACAAGAAATAAAAAAAAAGACATCAGGCGAACTTGCAAACAAAAACGGAAAGCAACGTACAAAAAAGCGCGCAGCAAAAAAACTGACCACTTCATCGAAAGACCGGGCGCGCTTTAGCCCAAGTCACACCACAATAACACTCTCATCGGCAATAATAATACCGATAAATAATGATAATAATAAATGACAATAACATAACTGATTATCACACGCATTTTAAAGAAAAAATCGTACAAAAAATCACAAAGGTTTGGCTTGTGGCCCTGTCGGGAATATACGAAACTCGCTACCTTTTTCACGTCGCGTAATATTTATTTACTTATTATCATCTTTATCTAATCTTCCTTACTTGTCTAAACCCTTCTGACATTAGAATCAAATACATGAAATCAATCGTCATTTCCTTAAATTATATATATATATAAAAAGACATAAAATGGAAAAGAAAAGAGAGAAAGAAAAAGAAAATTGGTCGACTAGTCATAACCATGTAACTAACGACCGCATTTTTTTTTCTTTTTTTTTTTTTGGTTTCGAAACGATCATTTGGCAGTGATTCCGTGGTTCGGGCCCGGGGTGGGGGTGTAGGGGAGGAGGGAGGAGGGAGGAGGGGGAGGAGGAGGAGGAGGAGGAGGAGGAGGAGGAGGAGGAGGAGGACGAGGGAGGAGGAGGAGGAGGAGGAAGGAGGACGAGGAGGAGGAGGAGGAGGGGGGAGAAGAGGAGGAATGGGAGAAGGAGGAAAGGGAAAAGAGGAAGAAGAGGAAGAGGAGGAGGAGGTGGGGGTGCGGAACGGGGTTTGGGGAAGATCTGGGGAGGAGAGGAGAAGGAGAGCGAGGAAAAGGGGGGGGGGGAGACGGAGAAGGGGAGAAGGCAAGGGATGAGCAGAAGAGGCTAGAAAGACTAGAAAAGGAGATAAAGAGTAAGAGAAGAGAGGGAGATAGAAGGAATGAATGGGCGACCGAAGAGGGGTGAGGGAATAAAAGGAAGAGAAGGGAGATAGAAGGAAGAATGGATAAAGAAGAGAAGAGGGATATATTAAAACTAGGGAAGGTTAAAGGACTGAGAGCAAAAATGAGCGTGCAACGAAGGCAAATTGTAGATGTGCAATTTTTCATCCTTCTGTTGAGCCGATCTGTATGTATATACATTTACTGAGTGAGACAGGTGGAAAGGAGTATATATCTATATACATATATACTTCACATATATGAGCACGTGTGTGTATGTGCATATATGTATATACATATATAAATATATATGTGTATATATGTATGTATGTGTGTATATATATATATATATATATATATATATATATATATATATATATATATATACACACATACACATATACATACACACACACACACACAGTTGCATACAGAGAGAGGCAAAGGGAAATAGAGAGGCATTTGGAAAGAGAAACGTACATGAGATCAGAATGTGACCATGTTAATTTTTTTCACTGTCGAAACATTGACTCATATTCACGGACTAAAAAAAAAACGTAAAAAAAAAAATTAACGTCACACCGTCCACTGGCAGAAGTAAAAAAAAAGAAAAAAAAGAAAATCACAATAATAATCCAGCATAATTAGCAAATTGCCATGCGACTTTAGTAAGTTTGAGAGCCACAAATAATGAGTATGTAAGTAATCATTAACTAGAATTATTCAGCGGAAACGGGAGCGCGAAGGGATACGAGCCCGCGGCCATATTTCTTCCCCGCCATGCACTAGTTTCCGTTAAAGTTTTTTATTCCTCGTGCCTCTGTTGGTTGGAAAATCAAGTGAGTCTTACATGTTAACATTTTCGTTAATTATTGTGATTATTTAGCAATGGAAAAATCAGAGCATTTGCTTTGCAGAGAACTCCCGGTAAGATATATTTTTTTTGGTTCAGCATTTTGTCTTTTTTTCGCAAACCGAAGCGACACTTTTATGATACATCGATATCCCCTCGAAATATCTTATCCTAAAAAAACGGTCACAACACTTGCACAATTTTCGTCCGTTACACATTAACATCATCTGAATAATCATTTTAAATTACGATATCTTTTTTATTCATACATATATATATACGGTACATGTATACGTAAGGCCAGTCTCCTTTTTTTTTCCATCGCTCGGTCCCCACACTAAAAAAAAAAAAAAAAAAAATCCACTACATTAATAATCCGGTGTATGATGAGGCCTCCATCACCCCCCCCTCCCCCTCCTCATATTTACGGCACAGGCCTTACGTCACCATCGAAATATATGCACGTTGTCCCTCTCTTGTTATCAGCCTTAACGTTACACAGAAAACCCACAGTCATACATATTTCATCTTAGTCTATTCGCTAAGGAACCCTGAGAGAGTCACTCTCACCATCATCACCATCATCATCATCATAATCATCATATTCATCACCTACACCTATTTTCCTCATTGGGGTAAAAAAATCACCTAAATCTTACCCTAAGGTCACCACCCACATGGTATGTTCTACAGGATAACTGCAACTTGGATGCAGATAGATAGCGAGGGAGGGTGTGATAAAGATAGATAGATAGATAAATAGTAAAGCAGATAGAAAGGCATAGATAGGAAGATACATAGATAGACAGATAGAGAGAGAGAGGGAGAGATTTATTTTTCATTTTGACAAGTTTATTGAGACAAAAGAAAGAAATGGAGAGAGAGAGAGAGAGAGAGAGAGAGAGAGAGAGAGAGAGAGAGAGAGAGAGAGAGAGAGAGAAGAGAGAGAAGAGAGAGAAGAGAGAGAAGAGAGAGAAGAGAGAGAAGAGAGAAGAGAGAAGAGAGAGAAAGAGAGAGAAAGAGAGAAAGAGAAAGAGAGAGAAGAGAGAGAAAGAAAGAAAGAGAGAGAGAAAGAGAGAGACAGAGACAGACAGACATACAGAAACAGAGAGAGTAGAGGAGCAGAAAGGAGGCACTGAAGCAGAAACGGAAGCAGAGGGCATGTGGTCGCGCCGTTTCGAGCCCCGACTCGTCTGGCCCGAAGCACCTTTCGTTCACATTCGGCCTACGCTAAACATCTCAACTACACAGAAGGCTAAATTGGCGTCTGGAGCAATAAAATGTCTTCTCTTCCTCCTTCTCACAGGCACACACCTCCGCACGGTCGAGGTCATACTCTTTCTTTTTTCTTCTAGGCAGGTCATAGGTCGTGAGGTCGGGGCAGAGGGGGGAGGGGAGGGGAGGGGGGAGAGGGTGATGAATGCGTTGTGATCGAAATAATTGGTAAAGTTTTTTTTTCTCTCTCTC